AGGAGTGAAGGTGATGCCGGAGAGGCTCGTGGTGGAGGTCCTGCGGAGGGAGCTGTTGAAGCTGTGTGTGCAGGGGCTGTCAGGAGGGAGCGTGAGCAGCAGGTTTGACAGGGGAGCAGCCTCGGCACCACCTTGTGCAGGCTTCCTGTCCAGGTGCTCGCTGCTCGCCACCCTGCTCCAGGGTTGTCTGGAAACGCGGCGTGAGGGGAGGGACCTCTGTGGGCACGGCAGGCGCTGGGAGAGCCCCACTGCCTTCTGGCAGGCAGCAGCAGAGCAGAGACGCCGCTGCGCCCGGGGCTTTCGCAGCGCTGCCCGGAGAGCGAGGAGCCGTGTTTGCTGCTGCTTGTCACCTGGGAGCTGAGCTGCGTGAGCTGGAAGACCCCGGATGGGAGGGACGCGCTAGAAGCACACCAGGCTCACGCCGCCAGGCCCTGTGGGGGACAGCCATGGCCACTTCAGCCTTCGGAGTCATCCTTGCTGTGCTGGCCTCGCTCATCATCTCTGCCAATGCACTGGTGGCCGTCGCCCTCTTTCGCCTCATCCAGAAGAGCGGATACAACGGGCTCTACTTTGTTCTTAACCTGGCCATCTCAGATGCCATGGTTGGCTTCACGGTCATCAGTCTGGCCATAGATGAACTTTCCCAGCCCTTTTATCCCTCCCAGACCTTCTGCATCCTGAGAATGGCTTTCGTGATCTTCTCCTCTGCTGCCTCCATCCTTTCCCTAACACTGGTTGCCTGTGACAGGCACTTGGCAATCAGGAAGCCTTTCCACTATTTCCAGGTGATGACAGGCCTGCGGGTCGGGGCGCGCTTGGTGGGGCTCTGGCTGCTTGCTGCCATCATTGGTTTCATCCCGGTTGCTGCCCCAGGCTTTCAGCACTTGTCCTTCTCTACCAAGGCCAGGTGCTCCTTCTTTGGAGTCTTCCAGCCAGGCTACTTGTTCATCGTCTTCTGTGTTGGCTTCTTCCCAGCGCTCTTTATTTTCATATACCTCTACTGTGACATGCTGAAAATCGCAGCCATACATGTGCAGCACATCCGGGAGGTGGAGCATGCGGGGCTGGCGGGTCGCTGCCGCCCGACGCGCACTACCAGTGACATGAAGGCCATGCGCACTGTGGCCGTGCTCACCGGCTGCTTCGCGCTGTCCTGGTTGCCGTTCTTCATCGCCAGCATCGTGCAGGCCATGTGCCCCGAGTGCTTCCCCTACCAAGTCATTGAGAACTACCTGTGGTTGCTGGGACTGTGCAACTCCCTCCTGAACCCCCTGCTCTACTCTTACTGGCAGAAGGACGTGCGGCTGCAGTTTGTCCAGCTGGCTGCCAGTGTGAAGAGGAGAGTCCTCCTTCACCTGGGGAAAGGCCCTCATTTCCACTGCAGAAGCACCAAGCCCCTCCCCGCCGTGTCCTGCGTGCAGCTCCAGGACTCGCACGGTAAGGAGTCCTGCCCATCTCCACCACCACAGTTGTGAAGCCCGGATGGGGAGGGGCTCTCAGACAGGGTGGGCCAGATGTAGGGTGCCAATTCCCAGCCATTGGCAGGACCAAACTCAAGCTTACCTGAAACCCCGTGTGGCCCCAGAATGGCACCAGCTCCAAGGCACCCCAAATTGCAGGTGCCTGGGGCACACATTGACTATGGCATCTGCTGGGACCAAACCCTCAGTACTTGGCTCCAAGGACGGTGATCCCTTCAACCTCCCTGTCCATCTTCCCAACCAGAGGTGGATGCCTCCTTTGCCCTACTACGTGCCTTTCCTCTGGCATCATCCACTCCATTGTCTTCACCCCCTTTGCCAGCTGCAGCACCCAGGCAGGCAGGGACCCATCCTAAATCTGCCCCGGACCATGAGCCCTCCCAAAAGCAAACTGCCACTCCTGCAGCCTGCTGCACGCCTGGGCGAGCTGTGGGACAGCACAGGCTGAGCTGTTGCTGTTTGGCTTGGGTCATAAAGCGAGTTAATGGGTGAACTGCCTGCGAGCAGAGCTGAACCACAGCAACAAGGGGAAGGGCTGCCTCAAAGCCTGGTGCAGAACAGCTGCCGTGTCCCACGCGGCTGCAGGGCTGGATTCTGGGCCCGCAAGGGACGCTACGCACAGACACATCTGACGGGAGTGCAGGCCACTTAGCACACGTCCCATCCCACTGTGGTGATGATGTTCAGGACACTGACCCTGCCAAAGGGTGTCATGACTTTTAATTGCTTTTGGTGAGATCACGTCCATTTAACTCGTGTGAAGGCGAGAAAAGTTCCCTTAAAAGAGGTTTCTTAGATAAGACTAACTTGCCTTAATCTGAAAATGAGGGTGCCATGGCCAAAACGACAGTTTTCCGTTTCTGTCAATTGCCCCGATGGCAGATATGAAGGTTCTGGGCCATATCCAGTCTGCAGCCAGAATCTGCCTTGGTCCCAAGGCTTTCCTCATCCCAGGAAAAGCAGCAAACAGAAAATGCCCTCCAAGAACAAGGTGCCTTACAGCACTTGCCTCTTTGCCTGGGAAAGGCCTGAGACCAGATGCTACGTGGCAAGTCTTGTTCCTGACTCAACCTCATGGAGCCAAGCCCGAGATAAGGGCTCCACAGCAGCAGCATGAACGAGCAGCACCGTTGGCTGCGTGGGCCTGTGGCCAGCGTGGTTTCCCCATCACGGCTCAGCCCTTCCTCATCACGGCAGGGAGCGGGATGGAGAGAACACGCTCCTCCTCCGTGCTGCGGTGAAGAATCTCACTGAGCCTCCTGCGCTGCCGCCTCCTCTGACCATACACAGCGGGAGCTGGTGCTTGCACACAGCGGGAGTCAGAACTTGGTCTATGAGAGGTTCCTCGGGATCCCACGGGGATGGCCCAGGCCCGCAGCTGTGATATCGCGTCCCTCTCCTTGCTTGACCCTGAGTGCTTCTGTGCCACGGCTGCAGCACGGTGGCCGTGCGGAACCCTGTGCGGAGCATCACCCTGGTGCCCGAGAGCTTCGAGAGGTGGAGGGATGGCGGGGGAAGGGGCAGGAATGAAAGTTCCCGGCTGGAAGCCGTGAGGAGGGGGAGACGATGTTGGGGAGCTTCTGCTGGTTGCTG